AGCATTTATTAGGTCCAAATAAAATTCAGCCCGCTAGGCCGATCAGGGTCAAAATTAGGTGCTTTTTCTACTAAACTTCATAGAAATCTCTATAAAGAAGCCTGAAGCCAAAATCCACCTCACTTTTCCCTCAAAAAAAACAACACACACCCACACGCAGCTGACACACTAGTCTTTACCAGTATAGGAGAGTAGAGTAGAGTAGTTCCAAATTTTTTCTTTTTCCCAAAAAGCCCCTCTCTACCCCCCAAAGCACACTGTAAAGCCCACACAACACAATCATATACACAAACTGCCAATCGATAATGGAGATTTTCGATTTCGACAGCCAAAACGAAACTCCGGCCGGCAAATCGAGAACAGCCGCCGGCGTCCTTCAACCCCTCCGGAAGCTCTTCCTTCTCGTGGAGATCTCCCTTCTCACAATCTCCCTGGCGTGGGCCTCGACCCGACTTCCTTCCGCCGTCAGAAGCTCCGGCGAAATTTTCCGGCAGATCCTGACCTTCGCCGCCGGCCACCTCGCTGTCTTCATCCTTGGAAACGCCATCGTCATCACCCTCCTCGTCAAGTCCCGCCGCCGTCCGGATGACGATGCGGACGAGGCCGGCCTCTTTCTCGACCTCGTCGGCGGCGGCGGCGGAGGGGGAACCCCTCCCACGGCGGCGCCGGTGGAGGTCGTGTACGAGGACAAGCGGACGATCCTGGAGGTCAGGGGGGTCCACCGGAGAAGCAAGTCGGAGAAGTGCTCGGGGACGGAGGAGGGAGGCCGCGGGCGGCTGCTGCGGCGATCGGAGACGGCGGAGAGGAGGCGGGGGGCGGCGGAGGTGGTGGAAGAGCTGAGCGGCGAGGAGTTCCGGAGGGCGATAGAGGCGTTTATCGCGAAGCAGGTGAAGTTTCATCAGGAGGAGAAAGTGGCCATCGTGCTTCATGGTTGATTAATTAATTAATTAAGTGATGTATTATTATTATTATTATTATTATTTACTTATATATTTGTAAATTAGTAGTAATAATTAGTGAGCTAATTATTGCACTTAAGCCTTTTACTGTGCTAGGTGAAAATAATTTGATTAGATGATCAGTCACTAAAATAATTTGATTAGATGATCAGTCACTATTCACTAATCACTAGCTTAATAGCTTTACCTTGGTCTAGAATAGTTGGCTCCGTTACCTATGGCGAATATTTATTATTTATTAATATTATTGTTACTGCATACGTCCCAGTTAAATTTATCTTTATAAATTATTATCATATTTTTATCTCATATACTGCTTCAAAGTAAGTTGTTATCTAATCGTAAGTTAATTTTTTTCGTAACATTTTTTTCTGTTGTGTTATTGGTGATTAAGTTTGGGTTTTGATACAAAACCGCATCAAATAGAGAAAAATATAAAAATTTGAACTTGCAAAAAACAATAACCATCTGCGTCGCAGTGTAGAAAGAAAAAATGAATTTAATCGAATTGAACATTTTCATCTGGAGTATTATTTATACTATTATATATACTTTTTTATGAACTTTTCACTTTAAGAAAAATTAGGACAATATCCGTGTATTACACGGGTGTTGAATTAGAAAGCTTCTGTAAAAAATATTAATTTTTTAAAAAACTAAAATAATTTAATTTTATATAAAACATTAAATTGTTTTTTAATTAAATTGTCAAATGATATTTGTTTAATCATAATAATTAAACACCCATACATTAAATGAAAATGTCAACCCGTTTTGAATTTTTTGACTTATATTATATAAAAATATCTATATTATTTACTATTACATAAGTACAAAAATATATATCTTAAATAAATAGAAGTAATATGATGATATGTATATGCATAAGTGTAGAATATGTTTATTTAATATTAAATAAAATAGATTAATTTTTTTACTTAATTAGATGTCTAATACTCTCTCCTATTTTTAATAAATGTCGTTTTGAAGTTACACAATAATTAAGAATATTTTTTTTGTCAATAATAACCCTCATTAATGAGGATAGAGATTGATGTTTTGAGAAAAGATGAAGAGTGAATATGAAAAGACGTAGTGTGTTTATTAGTTAGATGAGGGTAATGATGGAAAAATATGTACAAAATAGCCAAAACGACATTTATTTAACAAATGATCAATTAAGCTAGGATGACAAATAATAAAAATAGGAGGGAGTACATCAAGTGTCGTATCAGTCGTGCTTCACAGTTTTTTAATTTTATACGTAATTTTAGAATTTATATAAATAATTATTTATTTTTATTACATTGACAACATACCAATTAGATTTGAAATAAATATCATTTTTAAAAGAATACATACCAATTTATATTACTTTATAATATAATTTTTAGTTTTATTTGATATAATTTAATTTAGTTTGATAAATAAATTTAAATTTTATTTATAAGGATATATATTACTATTTTGTATTATATATATATATATATAAAAATAAAAAGTAAAATACAAATGGACTTCAAAATATCAATTCAAATGCAACACACTAATTAATTTTTTTTTTCTTGACAATATTAACCTTATTTAAGGGCATTACTGTTTACCGCCCCCCTTATTACTATGTACCGCCCCCTTTGGACATTTTTGCCCTTGCCATTTTTTTCCAAAAAGTAAAAAAAAAAAAAAAAAAAAAAAAAATTGCAACAAAACATAATGCCAAATAGTATCAACATGGTTCAACTCTCCATACACAAGACAAACAGTACTCCTTCAAAAGGTAGGCATATTCTAACTAACTGATGCGAGCTTTGCACGTTGTATATCATCAAGCGTCCCAGGGGATTCATCATCGCTCTCACACGAATATTTTTGCTTCATACGACCATGTTGGTATAGCTCGTATGAGTACCTCATCCTCTCCGTGTCGGGAAGATAGTTGGTCGGGAGATCAAACTTAGTGATGAAGTATTC